ATATTGTTGAAAAAAGATATTTTCAATGAGTAAGTCACTAGTCTTGCAAAATTCTACCACGTGATCTCCAGCGTCATTTCTATCACCAAGGCCATATTTTCCAACTACCAATCCTTGTTTCCAACTTTTGCATTCCAATTACCATAATTATCTTTTTCTATTGTTGTTGTTGTTAGGTGCCTGTCATGGACTGAATTATGTCCCCCCAAAAATGTGTGTATTGTTTGGCTGGGCCATGATTCCTTGTATTGTGTGATTTTCCTATATGTTGTAAATCCTGCCTCTATGATGTTAATGAGGGCAGATGGGCGGCAGTTGTGTTAGTGAGGCAGAACTCAGTCTACAAGATTGGATTGTGTCGAGGCAATCTCTTGATATATAAAAGAGAGAAGTGAGTAGAGAGACAGGGGGACCTCATACCACCAAGAAAGCAGTGCCAGGAGCAGAGCGTGTCCTTTGGAACCGGGGTTCTTGCTTGGAGAAGCTCCTAGTCTGGGGGAAGATTGATGAGAAGGCTGACAGAGAGAGAAAGCCTTCCCCTGGAGCTGATGCCCTGAATTTGGACTTTTAGCCTACTTTACTGTGTGGAAATAAACTTCTCTTTGTTTAAGTCATCCACTTGTGGTATTTCTATTATAGCAGCACTAGATGACTAAGAGTGCAGTCGAGTCAGTTCTGACTCATAGAGATCCTATGTACAACACAACACTGCCTAGACCTGCGCCATGCTCACAATCATTGTTATGCTCGAGCCCATTGTTGCAGCCACTGTGTCAATCCGTCTTGAGAAGGGTATTCCTCTTTTTCGCTGACCCTCTACTTTACCAAGAATGATGTCCTTCTCCAGGGATTGATCTCTCCTAATAACATGTTCAAAGTACATGAGACGTAGTTCTCACCATCCTTGCTTCTAAGGAGCATTCTGGCTGTATTTCTTCCAAAACAGATTTGTTCATTCTTTTGGCAGTCCATGGTATATTCAGTATTCTTCACCAACACCATAATTAAAACGCATCAATTTTTCTTTGGTCTTCCTTATTCATTGTCCAGTTTTCGCGTGCATATGAGGCAACTGAAACACCATGGCTTGGATCAGGTGCAGCTTAGTCTTCAAGGTGAAATCTTTGCTTTTTAACACTTTGAAAAGGTCTTTTGCAGCAGATTTGCCTAATGCAATGCATCAGTTGATTTCTTGACTGCTGCTTCCATGAGTGTTGATTCTGGATCCAAGTAAAATGAAATCCTTGACAACTTCAATCTTTTCTCCATTTATCATGATGTTGCTTATTGGTCCAGTGATAAGGATTTTTGTTTTCTTTATGTTGAGGTGTAATCCATACTGAAGGCTGTGGTCTTTGATCTTCATCAGTAAGTGCTTCAAGTCCTCTTCACTTTCAGTAAGCAATGTTGTGTCATCTGCGTATCACAGGTTAACTAGTCTTCCTCCAATCCTGATGCCATGTTCTTCTTCATATAATCCAGCTTCTCAGATTACTTGCCCAGCATACAGATTGAATAAGTATGGTGAAAGATACAACCCTGACACACAACTTTCCTGACTTAAACCATGCAGTATCACCTTTGTTCTGTTCCAACGACTGCCTCTTGATCTATGTACAGCTTCCTCATGAGCACAATGAAGTGTTCTGGAATTCCCATTCTTCGCAATGTTATCCATAACTTGTTATGATCCACACAGTCAAATGCCTTTGCATAATCAATAAAACACAGGTAAATATCTTTCTGGTATTCTTTGCTTTCAGCCAGGATCCATCTGACATCAGCAATGATATCCCTGGTATCACGTCCTCTTCTGAATCTGGCTTGAATTTCTGGCAGTTCCCTGATGATGTACTGCTGCAGCCATTTTGAATGATCTTCAGCAAAGTTTTACTTGTGTGTGATATTAATGATATTGTTTGGTAATTTCTGCATTCGATTGGATCACCTTTCTTGGGAATAGGCATAAATATAGATCTCTTCCAGTCAGTTGGCCAGGTAGCTGTCTTCCATATTTCTTGGCATGGACAAGTGAGCACTTCCAGTGCTGCATCCATTTGTTGAAACATCTCACTTGATATTCTGTCAATTCCTGGAGCCTTGTTTTTTGCCAATGCTTTCAGTGCAGCTTGGACTTCTTCCTTCAGTACCATCAGTTCCTGATCAATATGCTACCTCCTGAAATGGATGAACGTCAACCAATTCTTTTTAGTATACTGACTCTATGTATTCCTTTCACCTTCTTTTGATGCTACCTGAGTCATTTAATATTTTCCCTGTAGAATCCTTCAATATTGCAATTGGAGGCTTGAGTTTTTCTTCAGTTCTTTCAGATTTAGGAATGCCAAGTATGTTCTTCCCTTTTGGTTTTCTATCACCAGTTCTTTGCACATGTCATTATAATACTTTACTTTGTCTTCTCAAGCCACCCTTTGAAATCTTCTTTTCAGCTCTTCATCACTTTTTCATTTTGCTTTAACTACCTGACATTCAAGAGCAAGTTTCAGAGTCTCTTCTGACATTCATTTTGGCCTTTTGTCTCTTCCCTGTCTTGTTGATGACCTCCTGCTTTTTTCATGTATGATGTCCTGGATGTCATTCCACAGTTCGTCTCGTCTTTGGTCATTACTGTTCACTGCGTCAAATCTATTCTTGAGATGGTCTCTAAATTCATGAGGGATGTACTCAAGGTCGAACTTTGGCTCTTGTGGACTTGTTCTAATTTTCTTCAGTTTTGACTTCAACTTGCATATGAGCAATTGACGGTCTGTTCCACAGTTGGCCCCTGGTCTTGTTATGACTGATGATATTGAACTTTTCCATCGTCTCTTTCCACAGATGTAGTCCATTTGATTCCTGTGTATTACATCTAGCAAGGTCCACATGGATAGTCGCCATTTATGTTGGTGAAAAAAGGTATTTGTGATGAAGAAGTTGTTGGTCTTGCAAAAGTCTATCATGCGATCTCCAGCATCATTTCTATCACCAAGGCCGTATTTTCCAACTACCAATCCTTCTTTTCTGTCTGCAACTTTCACATTCCAATCACCAGTAATTATCATTGCATCCTGATTGTTTGATCAACTTTAGACTGCAGAAGTTGGTAAAAATCTTCAATTTCTTCATCTTTGTATTTAGTGATTGGTGTGTAAATTTGAATAATAGTTGTATTAACTGGTCTTCCTTGTAGGCATATGGAAATTATCCTATCACTGACAGCGTTGTACTTCAGTATAGATCTTGAAATGTTCTTTCTGATGATGAATGCAATGCCATTCTTCAGTTCTCTTTCTCAGCATAGCAGACCATATGATTGTCAGATTCAAAATGGTCAATACCAGTCCATTTCAGCTCACTAATCCCCCCTACATGTCTGTTAGTTTGTTGTACTGTGGGGGTTTCTGTGTTGCTGTGATGCTGAAAGCTATGCCACCGCTATTCAAATACCAGCCAGGTCAGCCATGGCGGACAGGTTTCACCTGAGCTTCCAGACTAAGACAGACTAGGAAGAAGGACAGGGTGGTCTACTTCTGAAAAGAATTAGCCAGTGAAACCTTATGAATAGCAGCAGTACATTGTCTGATATAGTGCCAGAAGATGAGCCAGTTGTACCCTATTTTCACATATTATTTCATAAGCATTTTCCTTTGCCCCCAAAAATTTCTTCAAAATCCATTTTTAATGGCTGCACAATGTTCGACTGAGTGGACAGAAGACAATTTACTTACCTTTTCCTGTATTGGTAATAGAGGTAGTTTGCAAATTTTCCCCTTTATAAAAAACACTGAGATGGGCATCCTTGTCTTTAAAACTTTTGTGATTTCCTTGGGTAGATTCCTAGATGTAGAATTACTTGGTTAGAGGATATAAATGTTTGAGGCTCTCTAAATACAGCTTAGTTAATTTTCAAGATTGTACTAATCACATTCCTACCAGTAGGGCTGGTGTCTAACTCTACGCATTGTTCCCACACTATTTATAATGCATGACAGCTTTATAATCACGTGTGACAACTTTGCATGGTGCTTATTTTAAACTTTTAGACATTCTCCTTCGATTGCCTTAAGCTCAAAACTAAATTTGTGACATAATTCTAGCAAAATGTACAGGGGCTACGGCATATACTGGGTGGCAAAGTTGTCCTTGACTTCATTCAGTTTTTCCTTTCCTTATTTTGCCCTCTTCATCTGCAACCCTTCTTCTTCAATTTTATCAAGTGCTGTTTTTTAACCATGTTTTATCTGAACATCTTTATATACGACTTTGTTGTTATGACGATGAATACATGATGTATCCCAGTGTGGTGGGCTTACTGGAGGGGACAGAGACTGGAGAGACCAATGAAAGAGCCGGTGGCGGAGTCCGCGCGGGAGAAGTGGCGGCCCGGGGATGGAAAGGCGCGCAGGGCGAGTCCTAGTTACGTTAAACAATCCAGTCTCGAAGGAAGCGTCTCCAGGGCTTGGGGGCGGGCAGGACGCGGTGCGAGCTGTGGACTGAGATGAGCACGAGGCTTGCCGTCCGGCCGCCCACGGCCCAGGCCGCCGCCCCATCCCCGTCCGCGGGCAGGCGAGGTGGCCGGTCCCGCTGCGGCTCGTCGGCACCTGGCGCCAAGATCGTAGACAACGCGAGCCCTCCGCAGACCCTAGAGCCGCCCGGAAGTGCCGCGGGGGCGAGGCGGGGCTCCCGGCCCCCGTTTCCGGCCCTTGTCAGTCTCCGCAAGGAGTGGCGCCGGCAAGTGTAGGGCCCCCTCCTGGAGACTGGGGAGCGGGGCGGGGCGGGGCGGGGCGGGGCGGCCCGCCCCCCTCCCAGGCTCGCCCCGCCCCTCCCGGGTCCCGCCCCTGAGCCCCGCCCCCTTCGGCCGCGGCACTGTTCCACGCTGCCCGGCCCTGGGGTTCCCGCAGGACTCCGCCAGCTGTGTGAACCCCTTCTTGGCTGCTGGATCGCAGGTGAGCCTCCTCCAGGGCACCGCCTGCAGCCCGGGGCGCGGGGTGCGTGCAGAGATGACTGAGGAAACGAACAAGGTAACTTCAGATGATGGAAAACGGACGGGTTAGGTGGGGGAGCCTGGGGTCCCCGCGGGGAGCTTGGGAGGGCCCAGCTGAGGTTGCAAGGGTGAGCTGGGGCGCCGCGCAGAGATTTACGGGAAGACTGCAGGGCAGAGGCCTGGCGGTGGACGTGACCTGGGGCCCGGGGAGAAACCGCCCTGCTGTGACTGCGAGTTCCCGGTCGGGGGCTGGAGGGCAGGCGGCCTTGTGGGGGACCACGGAGAGAGTGCTGCGGGGCCGTGAGGGAGGCCGCCTCGGGGGCTGGAGCAGGCAGGAGGCGCGGCCAGGGAGGCGCTGCTGGTAGAGTGTGGAGCCGCTCGGCTTGGTCTAAGGGGGCGGAGGGAAGGAGGGCTAGGCTATGGGGCTGACCTGAGAGGGTGGGGAGGAAGGGGTGAGGATGACGCGGGTTTCTGGCTTTACCTTGGAGACTCAGCTCCACCCACCGCCTCCCACCTCCCCACATCCTTGTCGGGGGTGGGCTGCACAGCCTGTCTCAGGGGCGCATGCCACCCAATCCGCTCTTGGCGCCAGGTTGTCCTGGGCCCCAGTTCCAGGGGCGCTAGCGAGTGTCTGGACCACTGTAGCTGCCAGCTTTCACCCCCTCGGCCGGTCGCCACCCGGACTCTGGCAGTCCACGTAAGCAATTTCTAGCAGGAGTTTCAGGAGTGACGCTACGGGCACTATAGCAGGTCTGCAGGCGCTGCAGAATGACCGCCTCACGACTTAGCTCCAGGTGGCCACACTAGGAATCAATTTCGCTGGTCCTTCACTCCACACCCCTGAGGCCTGGAAGTTAAGAGAGTGATTTAGTGACTCTGAGGAGGGGCTGAGCCTGGGTTTCCTGAACACACACCTGAGAGCTGGGTTGGGGGAGGTCCCAGGCCAGGCTGCCTCACTCAGTAGCTCCCCAGGAGCAGAATGGCAGCCGAGCTGCCAACACCCAGGTCCTGGGTAAGTTGACCTTCCTCCCTGCCCCTCGTGTCCTACTCGCCCCTCGGAAGCTTTGAGTCCAGCAACTGGTAAAGCCAGGGCATCATAGCACCCCCAAAGAAAGGGTTCGGGAATCTGGACTCATGTCCTCTCCCTGAGAAACGGGCTCTGAGGGGTCAGCTGGAGTCCCCATGGCTGAAGAGGTCAGCTGGCCCTTGCTATGCCATCATAGATGGCTAGTGCATGGTTCATACTGACTGCAGTAGGGCTCTGGGTACCTTGGAACCTGCGTCTAGTGCAGTGAACTGGGCCCCAGGCAGCTGCGACCTGTTGTTGCAGGAGGAGGAGCCGCTGACATTCCAGGATGTGGCCGTGTACTTCTCTCAGGCGGAGGGGAAGCAGCTGGGCCCGCACCAGCGGGCACTCTACCGGGATGTGATGCTTGAGAACTACGGGAACATGGCCTCCCTGGGTGAGGCTCTCTTGCCCCTGGTTCCCAGTGGGGGCCTGTAAGGAGCCTGGTGGGCTGATTCAGCACTTTGGAGCCCAAGGAGGAGGGTCCTGCCCCTTGGCCCCAGGTACCAGTCTAGTCTCTGTAGAAGGACAGGGGCTGCCTCTTCCCCATGGGAGAGCCTGCCCTGCTCCCCAGTTCCAGGGACTTCTCTCCCAGATGTCCCTGACCCCACAGGCATCCCTCTAGGGGTTGGAGAAGGAATAGGTGAATTCTCCTTCAGTACGCACAGCGTCAGTCTCCCCCAACACACACATGGAAAACCTCTGTGACACCCCAACCCCACCGTGAGAGTCCCCTCAGCTCTGCTGACCTGTCCGAGTGGGCTTCCGTGACACTGCACTTGTCTCCTCTCCTCGCCTTAGAAGTTCAGCAAGCAGCTCCCCAGGCCACACCAGCTCACCCAGCGTCCTTTCCTTCAACAGGATTCCCTGTCCCTAAGCCAGATCTGATCTCCCAGCTGGAGCAAGGGGAGGAGCTGTGGGTCCTAGATCTTCTGGGAGCTGAGGAACCAGAGGTCTTGAGAAGCTGCAGGACAGGTGAGGGTGGGCGGGAAGCTAGTCCGGAGATGGCCTCCCATCCCCAGAGTGAGGGGCTGGTTGGGTGGTGGCGCTTACTCCCTGGGCCTCTCCAGGGGCAGTCTATAACAACGCCGTATATACATACAAGCATATACACACGTGCTGGTCTCTTTGCTTTGCTTTTAAAAACTAGATAGTTCTAATAATTAGGGAAGTTTGTGTTCTTACTTTAGTGATTATAATCATACCTTTATAACACCCTCCCTTCTTTATGTGATAACTTTATTGTCCTCTTTCTTTAGACAGTAGCTATTGGTTCCCTACCAGTTTCAACTATAAAATAGCACCTGTATCCTTTTTCTCCCTTGACCCCCTCTCCTCCACCTCCCGATTTTAGTCAATTCTATCCTTTAAAAAAATCTTTTCCTTTGGTCTGTCGAGCATACTTCTACTAGTTGATTTGTCAGCTCTTAGTGTTATCTTTGACTCCCAGCTATGGAGACAATCAGTGAGCTTGTTCCACTTCCCACCTCTTTCTCCCCGTTCTCCTCCAATTCTTGGTTGGTTGTATTGTTTCTACATTGTTAGGACATAGGACACTTTATCACTCATGTCCTCACCTTTGCCTTGGCTCTGCAATGAAGTGGATTGTTTACCTCTGGTCCTTGGACCAACATTTTCTCCATCACCTCTTGGTTGTCTGGAGTTTGCCTTGTGGTAGTTTATTCAGAAAGTCTCTTGTGAACAACAGATGTAAAATTCATGCACATTCAAAATTGATTGTATGAAGCCTTTAGTTTCTAAAGGTAGAAGATCACTGATTTGAAGTATTATATCTTTTCAAATATGTTGTTGTTGTTATATTAGGTGCCCTTGAGTCAGTTCCAACTCATAATGACCCTATGTACAATAGAACAAAACACTGCCCAGTCCTGTGCCATCCTCACAATCATTGCTATGCTTGAGCCCATCACTGCAGCCACTGTGTCATTCCAGCTTATTGAGGGTCTTCCTCTCTTTCGCTGACCCTCTACTTTACCAAGCACGATGTCCTTCTCCAGGGACTGGTCCCTCCTGATAACATGTCCAAAGCGCGTGAGACGTAGTATTTCATCTATATTTCTAATATAGGCATTTAAAATTATAAAATTTCTTTTAAGGACAGCTTTAGATGCACCCCACAAATTTTCATCTGTTGTATTTTCATTATCATTTAGTTCAAAATATTTTATTTTTCTTGTGATTTCTTCTTTGACTTAATGACTGTTTAGACATGTGTTAATTTCTAAACAGTTGGTGTTTTCTAGTTATCATATTGTTATTAATTTCTGATTTAGTTCCTTTGTGGTCAAAGAACATAGTCTATATGATTTCATTCTTTTATATTTTACTGGCTCTTGCTCTATGACCCAAAATATTGTCTATCCTGATAAATCTACCACATACACTTAAGACGGAGTGTTCTGCCATTGTGGTGGTGTATGAGTATCAATCAACTCAAGGCGGTTGACTGATAGACCTTGGTTATCTAGGTTGTTCAGATGTTCTGTCTTCGCTGAAGTTATTCTGTCAGTTGCCAAGAGAAGGGGGTTAAACAAACTATGATTATAGAATTATCTATTCCTTCATTTTTTTAGTTTTTGCTTCGTGTATTTTGAAGCTGTTACATCACGCAGATACATATTTACAATTATCATTGCAAGGGTCCCTCTTAATCTCTGGTAATTTTGTTTTGAAATATATTTTATCTGATATTAACATAGCAATTGCAGCCTTCTTATACTTAACAGTTAGCATGGTATATCTTTTTCCATCCACTTAATTTCAACATGTTTGTATCTTTGTACTTAACATGCATCTCTTGTTAGACACCATGCAGCTGGGACTAATTTATTGTCCATCCTGTCAATCTTTGTCTCTTAATTGGAATGTTTAGCCTATTAATATTTCATTATTGATATGGTTCATAAAGGCTCTCGTGAATAATATTTTTATTTTACACTTGTCTCTTCTGTTGTTTATTCCTCTGTGCTTCTTCCCTGCCTTTGTTTGATTTATTTCGAATGTTTTTTAGAACTCCATTTTAATTTTCATGTTTGTTTTTTAAGTAATCTTTTTGCTTTATTTTTTATAGTGGTTATCCTAGGGATTACAATGTACACATTTAAGTTTTCACAGTCTACTTACAGTTTATTTTATAGTACTTACAAAAACTTGAGGAAAAAGGCCAAAATATACTGTTTTGCCTTTACTCTAATAATTTTCATTTCCAATGCTGTTTATTCCTTTCTGAGGATTTGAGTTTTCATCTGGTATCATTTACTTTCAGCCTAAAGAACTTCCTTTAGCATTTCTTGTGGCATAGGTCTGGAAAACCAGTTCTCCAAGTTTTCTTTTATCTGAAAATACCTTTATTTTGCTTTCATTCTTTTTTTTTTTAATAATATTTTATTGTGTTTTTGGTGAAAGTTTACACAGCAAGTTAGCTTCCCATTTAACACTTTCTATACAGATTGCTCAGTGACATTAGTTACATTTTTCAAAATGTGTCAACATTCTCTATAATTGTGTTCTGGATGTTCCATTTCCAGTACTCTAGTTTCCCTGCCCCCTTATCTTCTCATCTTTGCTTTAGAGGAACTGTTGACCTTTTGGTCTCATAGAGATGGTTTTTTACTGGAGCACCATACTTATGAGTAATAGCCTTTATTTTGTATGTCAATCTGTTATTTCGCTAAAAGGTGACCTCAGGGGATAGTTTCAGTTCAAAGTTTAAAGATTATCTCAGGGCGATAGTCTCAGGGAGTCCTCTGGTCTCGACTGGTCCCATAAGTTTGGACTCTTTAAGAATTTGAGTTCTATTCTGTGTTTTTCTCCCATTCTATCAGGGTCCATCTATTGTGGCCCTGACAAGAACAGTTGGTAGTGGTAGCCAGGCACCATCTAGTTCTTCTGATCTCAGGGTAGATGAAGCTATGGCTTGTGTAGGCTATTAGGCCTGTAGATGAGTTTCTTCTCTGAGACTTTGGCTGCTGTCATTCTTGAGTGATATTTTCTTTTGATATAGAAATCTGAATGCACAGGTTTGTTTGTTTTTCCTGCACTTTAAAGATATTGTTCTATTTTCTTCTAGCCTCCATGGTTTTTGATAAGGAATCAGCTATTAATTGGATTATTACTCCTTTATATGTCATTTTCTTTCTGCTTTCAAGATTTGCTCTTTAGAGAGTCCCAGATGGAGCAGGAGAAAGTTGGGGTGCAGAAATCAATTTCTAGTAAAAAGACCAGACTTAATGGTCTGACTGAGACTTGAGGATCCCCGGAAAGCATGGCCCCCAGATTCTCTATCATCCCAGAACTAAAACAGTTTCCAAGGCCAACTCTTCAGACGGGTTGGACTGGACTGTGGGGCACAAAGTGATACATGTGAGGAGAGTGCCTCTTAGCTGAAGCAGATACAAGAGACTAAATTGGCAGCTTCTGTCCGGAGGTGAGATGGGAAGGCAGAGAGGGTTAGGAGCTGGTTGAAAGGACGTGGGGAATCGGGTGGGAAGGAGGAGCGTGCTGTCACAGTATGGGGAGAGCAATTATGGTCACATAACAATGTATGTATAAATTTTTCTATGGGAGACTGATTGTTTCAATGTTGTCATCTTTTACATATTGACATCTGTTTTCCTATTTTCGGTGTTTTAGCTTTGATTTACTTTTGTATCTTCCCTATCTGGGTTGATATCTGGTTGCTCTGTCCTGTGTTCTAGTCTTGGGTTGTTATCTGATGTTACTGATTTTCTAACCAGAGGACTCCCTTTAGTATTT